CAAAACCCGAATTCAGACTGTAAAGTTTCTGCGGTATGATTCGTTCAGATTTTTGCTTATTGTTGATATTAAATGCATAAAGATGATTCTGAGTTACAAAATAAGTTTTGTATGTGCAATAAATGAGTGAATACCAAATGTTTTTCTGAGAAATGAAGTCGATACCATCCGCTGATATGCGTAATAATAGTATGACATTAAAATCATTATCTGCGTTAAAACGAATATCTAAATTAGACTACAATGTATGGCATACATACATTTGATGGAATATACAATTATGCATATCATGGCCAACCCAGTGACATACATGTATAACTATTATTTAATCACTCTCTAAATGTTTGAGAACCTATTTAAGAGTCTTTTTCCCTTAAATTTCCTGTAAATAACCATGATTGCTTCTAATGTCAAGTAAAGTTGTGGTTGAAGTTGGAGCACGCAATCTCCAAGAATGCCTATTTACTCTTGCCTCGAAAACCTCTATAGTATACATATCGCGGAACAATGTCGCAGGAGGGGAATTCCATTCCCTTGCGGTTCACACAATGAAGGGGATGCGAATCAAGAGATACGCACTGCCTACACATCGTCATCCGATGACGAAGAGATTAACTTGAAGATGCAGTTGAAACACTCTTAAATTAGTGTAAGTATAAGGAATCGATTACACTTGGTCGTTAGCCCGAATACGAGTGCTAATGGGATTCGGGTAAACAACTAATTGTAAATGAATGGAGTCGAGTACGCCCGTATTCAAGTAATTTTTGGTTACCAGACAGCATCGTCCAGTCCGTATTCCAGTGTAAATATTGCTTCGGATGCCCGAATTCGGGTAATGTCTTTTGTGCACCCTAATGCGGCTAACTGCCGAGTGTAATTGAACCATCAGTGTGTGTAGCAAAAGTATTTGGTATATTGAGAGGAAATCGTGGTACACAAAGTTTTAAAGACTTAAGAGACTATATCTCCTGGAAAAATACAGAAATGACCCTTAACACAAAACAGTGCACTAAATAATTACTTGCCTTAGTTTACGTTCATTACACGACCACATCCACTATCTACCTTAACATTCCTTTAAAGATTACGCTTATAGTAGGAGAGCTACTGAACCCTCCGAGTAACGGTCTGTCTGTAAGGCTAGAAATTCTCATGGTGATGAGTCTAAGCATGCTTAGTACGGTAAGCATCGCCTGGCACTCCTTAGCCCTGCAGTCATCAAGCCGTATATTTTTGAGTGTCAAAAAAATATTAAAAAAAAAAACTTGTAGCTGTAAGCTTGACATTTTTGTACAATTTAGTTTATTCATTATTAAATTTAAAAAAATATATCAGGCGTTTACGATGAGCACAAATACCCGCCAGGCGAACCGGAAGGTGTGTAATATATACATAAAAATAAACTTTATTCTGTAAAGTTGAAATTTATATATGTGTTTATTTAAGCGATTTAAAATAAGTAGGAAGAATGCCAGGTAGTTCTGGCTAGCACAAGTCCTTGCCAGGCGAGGGGCAAGATGCTGCGGCAGTGCGAGTAAGAGTCGTAGTATGAAAACTTACGGTATATCATTCATGCAAATTAAATGATGTGAAAATAAAATTGATGGGTAAAATATTTTTTATTATTATAAGTCTTTAAATCAATTAATAAATCTTCATCATCATCACTTTCTTCATCATCGTAATAGGATTCTTAGTTCCTGATTTCATCATCTAAAAAACGCTAAAGTTCAAAGATGCTAAAGTTCTCACGCGCTAGCCTGTGTATATATATGTGCTAATATCACGTCTAGCAATCAGCCATCTTCACTTTTTTGGCTTGCAAAATGCACACCTCTTATATAAGGCCTCGGGTTTTCTTTACATCTCTTTTAAAGGACCTCGGTTTATAGAAAGAAAGGTTAAATACGTGCATATGTAAAGAATTCCATTTATGTATAGTACAGCGAAGCAATTGGTCACTAAATTTCTTTGTTTGCGTTGAATTAAAGGACTAACCAAAAAGCAAATGGTGGCACAGAACTATCTGATGTGAAGCTAGAGTCAATACGCGAAGGTAGCTGAAAGGAGGTAGAATAAGAAACACCTGATAACTCTTCAGCATACTCCGTATAGTTTAATGGACAGGACCGTATTAGATGAAACAATACCAATATTATAAAAAAAATGCGTGGATTGATTGTGCTGAACTTGCTGGTTTGATTGTGCTGAAAATGATTAGCAGTTAAAACATTCTGCATTTTCTTTACTGAAAAGTATCAGGCGTAAAAGAGCTTTCGTTGTATTTGCCTTCTTTTATAAAGCTGTTTTGGGTTGCAAACTCTCTAAGTAGGAATATTATTCTTTATTTATCTTTTACTTACTTGAGCGCGCATGAGAGAGAACAGTGTGTTCGTATTTGTTTCGGATTCTAAGAATCCCTTTATCACGTAAGCAAATAAGGAAGATGTATGTTTAAATTTATTTATTTTTGTTGTCTTTAACATTCAAGTATACTGATTTTTTATCTAATTCTGGCAAAAGCTGCTATAAGTACATAAGATTTCAATAAGAATTTAGTATTTTTTTATGAATGTTGTTCAAATAGAAATAAGTAAATTAATAGTTCATAAGACTTACATAAATTTTACACGATTGTATTTGAATTGTATTTTGATGTGTAATGCTGAAAATGATTTGGCTTTTAAAACTGCGATTTTTATTTCATAAACTAGCTGACCCAGCGAACTTCGTACCGCCCTAAAAAAATAGGGGTTGTCCAGCGGACAAAATTGTGAATCTAAACCATTCTCAGATCCCCTTGAACACACACAAAAAATTTCATCAAAATCGGTCCAGTCGTTTAAGAGAAGTTCAGTGACATACACACTCACAGAAGAATTATATATATAAAGATATAGATAAAAACGGTCATTTTATTACCTGTATTTATAATCAAACTAAAATTCTCATATTTCCGTTTTCCAGTACTCATTTTCTACACGTTTTACATGATTTATTTGCTAATTTTGTTTACAAATGTTTGGTTTTTATTCTAAGATAAGCACGGTTTCTTAATATCAATTATTGTCTGTCCATAAGGTCCAACGCTCTGAACGCATCAACAGTCAAATATTGAATGAAGCTCGCTTTCTTTTTTTTTTGTTTCCTCCCAGGCGGGCGAGCGGGTGTGAAATCCTCATGAATCCTACAGCCGGCTGTAGGGTTATGTCAGACTCTTACTGACTAAAACACACCCATGGGGGATGCCTATGGCCTTAGGGGCCATACAGGCTTCATCTGATGCGATCAACCCCTGAGAAGGGGATGATGCATCCGTTTCGGTTTAGGACAGAGCGACTGAAGGTCTCTCAGGATCGGGGGGGGGGGGGGGAAGCTCGCTTTCGGACCTCCCGCCTTTTTATACCCTACCGCCGCCGCGACCCGTATCGAGCGCGGCAACCGTTACACAAAAATAATCCTTATAGCATGATTCAGTATTCACGTGCGACGGCGCGATGGCTTATTTCATGTATAAGTTTGGTGTTTCTATACCGATTTCTATGATTCTCTTTTTATTGAATAGGTAATAATGTTAACTTTTTTAAATTAGGGATGAGTGAGATTATTATAAACGTAAGAGTAAACAAATATAATCAGAATGCTCCGAACTGCTAAGCTATCAGGAGTTATACGTGTTATTGTGAGTCAACCATAAAAGATAGACATATGCTGTTGCGGGATATTTTTTAGACAATTTTATGTAGAATATTTGCGTTATACATGATTTCTATGTAACTTTAACCATTAAGGCTGCACACGCGACGGAAGCTTAAAAAATGGAGTAACTTCTCCCGTTTTCCCAACATTTCCCTTCACTACTCTGCTCCTATTGATTGTAGCGTGATGAAAAGTATACTATAACCTGCCCAGGAGTATGAAGAATAATTGTACCAATTTTCGTTAAAATCTGTCGAGTAGTTTTTGTTTCTATAAGGAACATACACACAGACAGACAGACAGACAGACAGACAAAAATTTTACTGATTGCATTTTTGGCATCAGTATCGATCACTAATCACGCCCTGATAGTTATTTTGAAAATATATTTCATGTACAGAATTGACCTCTCTACAGATTTATTATAAGTATAGATAAAGTTTTTTTCTAGTGGAACTTGTTTCATTTCTGAAAGTCTGATATTACAACATCATGTTTTCATCGAAATATCAAAAAGAGCTTATTTTTTTTAATTTTAATTCCAAAGGTGATATTCTAACATCGGTTATCCTGTTAATTCAAAATCCATCAAGTTGTTCGTAACTCGACATAAGAACATCAGTCGCGTGGATATATCGCGAAAAGTTTTCCGTCCCATCATAAACAGATGTGGCACAAACGTGTCGCCGCTGTTTACTTGGTAGCTGAGGCAATCATTAATATCTAGCAACATTGGTTATGGAAATGTTTGTATCCTATAAATTAATTATCATCAGCCTATTAGGGTGAAGTCAAACGAGCGTAAAATTTGAGTTGTGTAGAAAAGTCATCTTTGATGCACACCGTGACACAAAACGAGACAGGACTTTCCTATGAAAACGAATGTAGCTGAAACCACGTGACTCAACAACTTAAAAATTGTATGTTGATTTGGCTTCACACTTAATGTCCTAACTTGCTGGGGCAACGGCCTTTCCTACCAATCCTTTACGAATTGGTGGGTGCTATCGACTGCAGATACAACCGGACAAACAGCTGAACTTCCAATATCGCAGACCGAACACCATAACACACTTCGCCAATGAGCTCCTCATTGAGTTCATAAATGTAATGCGCTATGTCATAGGGTCACCATTGTATGCTGAGGCCACGTAGACCTAACGGTCCACGGTCCGCCGCGCCGGCCACTTGTCGTCGCTTTGGATGTGGCCCTGCAGTGGTTGAAGCGCGAACGCATCCGGAGCGGCTTCTGATTGAGTTTCTTAAATTAATTTTGGTATATAACTGAAAAGGCTCACCATTGTATACGGAGGCCACGTAGACCTTAACGGTCCGCGGCCCCGGCCACTTATCGTCGCCATGGATGTGGCCCTGCAGTGCTTGGAGCACGAACGGCTCCGGAGCGCTCATCGCGCCCCGTTGCACCTCACCCCGCGCCCCTCACCTCTCTCCACGGCATTCTGAAGATAAAAAAGAGATAGGTATATATTATTAAAGTGCGATTCAAATTTAACGGGACTGTGAAGTTCTAGAGTAAGGGAAGAGAGAAAAGAAATGCAGGAAGAAGTGCCTACTTCTTCTTAGACAGCGCATCACTGAACTAAAAACTGCGCTTTTTATAAAAAAAAGCGCAGTTTTCAGTTAAGTGATGCGCTGTGAAAAAATATTGATTAATAATAATTAATATTTTTTTTTACTAATTAGCCAAGCAATAAGTAAGTTTATGAGAAAACATAAATTATTGATTCATGCATAATCATTATTCCATCATACGTATCGATTTTAAAAACATGGTTATCATACCTATGTTTTTTTACTAGTTACTTAGGTTCCTCTGACGCATAATGTGTAGAGAAATTTCAGGGGACTCCAGTTACGCCGTTAGAGAGGCTGATGTAAAAGTAAAAATATTTTCCTGGGAAAATGCCGTCCATTTGCGAGAAACATAAGAACAGTCTACGAATGCCCATTACATTAGACGAACGGGCTCGCTTTATACAAATCACCTATTACGCAAAGTTTACGAATTTCCATAATCTATGTTGTTCATTCTGTACTTGGGTTTATTGATCAAAAAATTGATGATTAAAGAAATTACCTTGTGTGAAGTTCTATCATAATTATATGAGTGCTTCATCCCAATAGATTAGAGAAGAATAAAATTAAAGTACCGCGTAACGACTCGTTAAATAATTAAAATAAAATAAAATATTATTTTTGCACTAATTTCACCAAAGTTCCCCACCACTTAGGGTAGATATCCCTGCGGTGGCTTCATTTCAAACATTTGATTCAAAGTAAGTAGGTATAAAAGTGCGCTTTACAAACAGGTCAACAAAATATTATGGGTGTTTTGTTAAGGTAACCCACTCTCCTAATAATAATAATAATACAAAAGGCAGTACTTCTGGACACAGCGCGCATCGTCAGGAGGTTTCTTTCTCTGCGACCCTAACCACCGGTATATTGGACCTAGCCCCGCTGCTGGTGGCCTTCTAGGTTAGGTTTTTTATACTATACTAGTGGCCCGCCCTAGCTTTGCTTCGATGTAGAGCTGTAGCGTACTACAGTTTTTGTTCAAAGGCTTGTATTATACACAATGACCTTCTTCATAATAATTATAAACCTTCCATTCCAAGTAAAAAAATCGTTGCACAGTTTAGGACCCGTTATACCGAATGCATGATTGCTCTCTTGTTCCGATTTGAAAAAATCTTTTTGTATTGGATAGTGCATTTATCGAGAAAGGCTATAGATATAGGCTATATATTACCAGCTACCATTAGCCACCTATTGATCAGTAGCAGCGGAGCATGATGAAAACTGGTTGCAAAAACGGGTAAAGATATTCCGTTGCGTTAAATATAAACGGTCAAAGTTACACAAAAATCATGTATGACGGAATGCTTGCCCTTTAAAAGTGCTGTAAAAAAGCCCACGACAGAGTAAATCTATATTTTAAGTTAGACTCGCTATAAACCTTTTTCTTCAAATTAACGCGGGTGTAACCGCAGGGGACCTAGATATATGGTGTCCCGGACTTTTTTGTAGATATTGGTATCCTCTATAAAACTTTACTACATTAGTTTGCTCTATTGTCAATCACTTCCGCAGCGTACGCGATATAAGGCTATTTTTGGTATTTTTTACACACGTTGGGTTACATTAACGAAGTTTTCATACGGAACCCTAACTTTTTTGAAAATAAACTATAGCCTATATGAAACAGTGATAACGTAGCATTTAAATGGTAAAATATTTTTTTTAATCGGTCCAGTACTTTTTGAGCCAATTCGTTACAAACATACTTACATACAAACATTTCCTCTTTAAAATATTAGTATAGAAGTATAGATTAAGTTTTGTATTAACGTTTTTGTATTTTATTAATATATCTATTTTAAAAAAATCTTACTTGTGAAACAAAATTTGTGAGAGAATAATAATAAAATGCTCACACCACACAGGACACAAAATATGACAAACAGAACGAATACGAAATAGACGGTTTATTGATGAACAGCAATCGGTTCTCTAATCTTGAGGGTGAAACATGAAGTGTAACGACTCATTTTCGGGTGGATTTGTTTTAACTATACGTTAAAGTAAGGTCTTTTTTTGTCTAGAATAGTTTAACGAAATGTGATCTGAACTCCCACAAAATTATCTCAAATAAGAAGATAGGTACTTAATTATGTAAGGTCTTCATCTGTCATTCGAAGTTTGGAGACTTACGAAGTAGTGCCAAGTCAACCGATGTCGGACTTGGGACTTTGATAAAGTTTCTTTACTCAAGCACTTGCGCTCGAAGGACGTTTACACAAACGCGTTGTGACATTAAGCTTTTTCTATAGAATATATAAGATGATCACAAATAATATACTTAATTCAATCAATATTTTTCGATTTTGGTTCGCATGACACTTTTTTTTGTTATTATTACAATGCAATGCCTATATTTGAAACCGAAGATAATACCTATGTAATCAAATAGGCCTAAGATTTAACTTGGCCCATGTTAAATCTAGCTTAAAACAACAGTCCGTCTTTGTCACTTAAATGAAGTCATGTTGAGGTTTTATTGATCAATTTCATTTATGAAGATTTATGAGATTTGATGCGAGCGAGCCTTTCATATTTTCAGTTAACATTTTAGTCGCATATTATTTTATTGACCTGGAGTTTTCTGTCTTGTAGTGTTTTAGCAAAATTTTACAGAAATGAGTCCAAAATTAAATCACTTTGGTTATTTTATGCCAAAGTCGACATTTCATGACAATGTTGTGCGTTGGTGGATTTTACCAATCTGTTCTACAAAATCCATCCGTCTGTCTGTCAGTCTGTCACCACACTGTACCACATGAACCGTAATAGCAACACAGTTGACATTTTCATAGATGATGTCTTTCTGTTGCCGCGATAACAAAAATATTAAAAACAGAATAAAATAAATATTTAGAGGGGCTCCCGTACAACAAACGTAATTTTTAACAATTTTTTGATTTATGTTAGTAACGGAAATAGGTAGATGCTTAAAATATTCACGTAATATTTAATTGTATATTGTATCCCATACAACACACGTGATTTTTTGCCGTTTTTGTTCAATATTATAAAGTGCCTAATGTCGTGCTAATGTTGTATGGATAATAGTACGGAACCATTTGTGCACGAATCCTACGAATAGTTAGCCGATTATTTTTTCATCAAGTTTAATAACTTTGATCAATAACTATGAAAATAAAAACACAACATTTTATCTAACTCGCAATAATACAGTTATCCATTTACGTTTCCAATAAGCGTAAGTATTATTATTAATAATCCAAATAAGCTAATAGATTTTGTATTTCCTAACTTTAATGGTGCGGCGGCATTAAGATCAATTATACATAATTAAATATTTCTTAACGAGTTAAGGTGCGTTTCTTTATAACTTTAACAATATTCTTGAAGGTTCCGCGATCACAAGATAATGAATTTTATATTTTAATAAATATTTTTATTTAATTATTTGCCGAATATGTAAATTACGGCCATGTTAAAAAATATAGCATAAAGGAAGTATTTTATTTCAAATGAGATATTGTTGGGTCTTAGATAGACTACTAAATTATTTCTTTTTGCATTTGCATGATTATTTTTATCGTAGTATAATTTATCTAATTGCACATAACTTTTTCATGTTTCAAAGAATTTTTCTGAATGATCGGTGGTCTGAAAGGCAGCGACAAATTGGAAAATTTCCGATTCGTTACCTCAAACGTACGAGTAAGGTAGAAAGTCAATGTGTAATGAAGAACTCATATTTAGGAAATATTTCAAAAACTGGCTCGCTTCTTTATATATTGCGGTGTATAAAAATAGTTAATTATATTTATACTGATATAAATATACATTGGAAAATCAATTTCCAGGATAAGTATAAAGAAAATTTACTGTCTCGAGCTCCACCGTGATTCGGAAGGCACGTTAAGCCGTAAATCCCAGCTGTATCTGCAGTCGTTAGCACCCACCAATCCGCACTGGGCCCGCGAGGTCATGGCCTAATGTCTCTATTCCATCCATAGGGAAGGCCTGTGATAATAATGATATATTAATAAGACTGAGTTTAGTTTTAGGTACAGCATTTATATATACAGTTCCCTTTCATAATGATTATAACTCTAATAGAAAAAAAAATCGGACAAGTGCGAGTCGCACATACCCACCGAGGGTTCAGGCCTTTGTAGGTAACATAAACGATCATATCTCTTTTTTTACGTTAACATAGAAGTAACTTAGAATTTTTTATTGCTTCAATTGATGTAGACCTGAGTATATGGTTTAAATTTTAATTCGATACCTTCACGCGTTCCCCAGATAAAGGGTTTTGACTGACATACAGTTAAACGCCCGTATATTTCTATGCGTTAACTTAGAAATATATTAAAAATATTTAACAATAAATCATTACATTAAAACCTATTATTAATATACATTGTCTCATATATTTTCAACTTCTATTCTAAGTATATTTCATTCTAAATTTAATTAAACAATCCTTAAACATAGCGATTTACAATAAAAATATCGTCAGTGAAATACCATTAAATGTCAACCTAATCTTAATCAAGATATTAAATGATATTTTTACTAACATACATACAAAGATTTAGAACATCATGTAACATCAGTAGTTCTAATAGGTACAAATACTATTTGTGATACAAAAAGACTTACAATAATAGAAATCCGTAGCAAAATTCCTACAATCTTTTTGTCGCCATAAAGCTCACAGCCTCTTTTTATATAGGTGTTATTTGTTGCGATGTTACTAATATTTTCACTTTGTTTATTCATTCCATTGTGACGTTTAATACAACTCAGACCCTTTTCCATTTCCGTAGACGTACGAAGATTTCTTGCCTAAAGGGTATGCTGAAAAATTTTCGCAAGCTGATGAAGAATCCAAAGTCCG